TTTATATACTCACGCTTCCTTTTACCTCTTACAGCTGCCTGTGTTATTAAAATGTTTCATCACGCTTTCACTAAGAAGACCTTCGTACATGGCATCAGCCAGTATTTGCGCAAATAGTAAGTTTTTCTTCAATAGACACCGAACTTGCTTAAAGACATCAGGAACTGGTCAATAACATTTAATTCGAAGAAATTTTCTCCCCTCCCTCTCAAGTCAGTTTACTGTGGCCAATGAGTTGGACCTCTTCGATGCCTTACAATCTGCCATTGCAGAAGATGCCGCAATGAATCAGCTGCCTTGGATTCAGCAAGATTCTATACGCAGTATTATGCTCTCCTGGACGCACAGTGAGTGGATTCCGATTGTGAGCGTTTCGCGCGACTATGAACGGAATACCATCACCATAAAACAACGTTCGAAGGACCAGAAATCTCGCGAACACTGGTGGATACCATTGAATTTTGCCAGTGCATCTGCGCCGGACTTTGAGCGTACAAGCGTCGACTACTTCATGCCGCCCGTGACTGAAGTGACACTAAATGCCAGCGAGTTGGGCATCGAACTGCGACCTGACGATTGGCTTATCGTCAACAAACAACAGACGGGCTTCTATCATGTACTCTACAATGATGCCAACCTCTGGCTCATAGCCAAGCAATTGCACGACAACCACACGCACATACATCCACTCAATCGCGCTGCTATTTTCCAAGATCTGGGCCCACTTATTGAGAACAACGAAATACAGTCGGTGGATGTGATATTCGAATTACTACAATATCTGCAGTACGAGGAGAATCTTATACCGTGGAATCAGGTGGCCGACACAATCGTTTTTCTAGGCAAGAATCTCTTTGGTACTCTCTCGCACAAAATGTACAACCATTTTGTGCGCCAGCTCATCAGGTCAATGTTCATACGCCTATTCGAAATGCCGCTGCATGAAAACCTCACCAACACCGACTTGCTGGCGAGACAAAAGATCATGGAAATGGCTTGCTTGGTCGATCTGAAAGAATGTCTGGACTACACGCATAATCAAGCACACGAGTACATATTCGGTAATGTGAAATTCGGCAATGACATGAGCTATTATGCCATGTATGAGACCATACTCTGCTTGGGTGTGAAATATCTCAGCGACATGGAGTTCAATGCCATTTTGGATTTGTTCGCCAAGACCGAACGTGACACACTGTGGTACGATGATCTTATTTATTCCTTGCGTTGCACACAGAGTCAGTCGCATCTACGACAATATCTCAATCTCATGCTGGGGGGGAATTCTACCAAAAGCATTATGAATGACAGCGAATCCATGATGTATCTCTTCTACTTGTTCAAAAGTAATATAGCCGCACGACCAGTAATGTGGGAGTTTTTCGAGAGCAATTACCGTGTGCTCTGCCGTTCGCAAATGTTCGTCGAGAATTTTAATCGCATAGCCGAATATATGACGCGAGTACATCGTGAACAGGTAATTGCCACACTTTTTCACAAATAAAAAGGTGCAAGACTAAAATTTTCTGATTTTTTTACAGTTCCTCGATTTACGCAATAAAATTGTCACTGAGCTACAGAAGGTCGGCCGCGAAAAGAGTGTCATCGCTGCTGATTCGCCACGCATTGGAAAGAAGGTGAAAATCAGTGAGATCTTCCTTGAAAAATTCAGCAATCAAACTTACGAATGGTTTAAACGACGCCAACAATCCACACACGCCGCCTCATTGGGCGCCCGCAGCAGTGCCACACAAATTGGGCACATGTTTCGTGCGGCGGGGAAATTCTTACGCAAAGTGATTATGAAAAAGGGGAGATGAGTTTGTTATTACACGTTTAACTTCTTTTATAAAGAAATGATTATTACTTAATTAAAATTAAATTTAAACAGATATTTTGTATAATTTTAATTTTTAAGGGGAATTATGGACCGACCTGAAGTTTTGGGGAAAATAATTCTAATTACGATATAACATCTTTGAAATGAGAAGTAGAAGTGTTCAGCAATGCCAATATATAAATTACTTGCGACCCCGCATGGCGTTAAAACGCCCAAAATAGAATTTCAAAAACCTAGAAAATACTCCAAATGTTAGTCAAGGCTATAGGCGATCCGAGCGCCAGATTTCATCTCAATCCGTGCGGCTGTTTCTGAGTGAGGAGAGGTCTCGCCTAGTAAAGGTTTTAAATTTCATAAAATTTCAAATCACCCTATACCGATCAAAGAAAAGTTCTCAGTTAAAAAAAGGAACAGTCCAGTGCCTTCGTCTTGGACTGCAGGCTGTATCGGAGATACAGCCCCTAAATTTAAATGTAGAATACGTGGTATGATTAAGAGCATAAATATCAAAGTCAAAGACGAAAGCACACACTAAGAAAAAAATATACAACACACATAACAAAAGCGATAATAATATCAATAATATAAAAACATCGATGAAGATATCGATATCAAAATCGATAATAATATCAAGAGCAAAGTCAGTAGAAAAATCGATAACAAAATCGATAAAAATATCGATAACAAAATCCATTACAAAATCTATCAAAAAATCGATTATAAGCTGTGTAAAAGGTAGGCTAACTTTTGATTTAAGTCGGAAAAATGGCTAAACTAAGTTTAGTTGAGTTGGAGGAACCAGCCCTTAACGTTCAAACTAAGGACTTCTTAATACTCTTTCCCTTGACATCGATATTTTGATATTTCATACAACTTACGTATAATTTAACTAAATTTGACAGGACTAAAAATGAATTACGAAAACTAAAATCGAAAAACGATCTTACCATGATGCTAGATTGTGAAAATGAAAGTCAGGAAGTTACATCTGACATTTTCAGCCACAATGCAATTCTCAAAAAGTAATTATTGCACCGCTTAAAAAAAATAAATATATGTAACTGAAAGTCCTCTCCACTGGTGCAGCGTCAATCGAAAATGAATTTACAATTTGTCAAGCTTCAAGTTTGTCGCCTCTAACTAACTTTTCCATTTTTTATTTACCTAAAATGCTCGCATTTCCTACAGAGCCTAGCGGCGCTCCACAGTGGCTCAAAACTGGTATTTACTGCTCATAATCCACTGGAGTCTTAATTTTTCAATCAATTTTATAATTTTTTTTTTTTTCAAAGCTTATAAAATTTTGAATTTTTATTTGTTTGTATTAAACTTTCTAGTGCAAAGTGCAGACAAGTGCCAATTTTGAATTGACTCATGTTCCAGTAAATAAATGTTAAATAATAAAACTTGTTGAAAACAATTGTAGGGTTCCCCCAAAACGAAAAAATGTATTCCACCAGAAGAATTTTTAATGTTTTAAACAAAAAAATTCACCAAAGAAAATTGATTTATTTTTAGTTTTTAGAAAAATTTGGGTATGCAGTTTTATAGATAGATTATAGATAGATTGAAGTGCAAGTCGCAAGCTGCCAAGAGTTGGCGTTAATTTTTTGTGAAACACTTTTTCTTGTGAATTTGTTTTCGATTTGAGGAAACCCTACAATGGTTTTTAATTAGATCTTATTATGCAACATTTACCTACTAGAGCAGGAGAATCGATTTTCTCCAAAGTTGCTATTTTCTGAACTTTTCACTTAAAAAATTAATATAAACAAATAAAAATTCAAAAATCTGGGTCAACTGGTCTATTTCTAATTTTATAAGCTGTCATTAAAAATGAAAGCTCCGGTGAATTATTAACAGTTACAGGTCTATACTGCACGTTACCGAAGATTTTGTAACCGGAAAATTGTATTACCAAAAAATGTTACCAGTTCTTGTCACCGCGATTCTAGGTACGTTGATAATGCATTTAAAATATTCAGCAATTCAGCTATGAAGAATTGTGCAAATCCTGGCATTGCATATTTTACGGGGCAATAATTTGTTACCAGCTTATGAGATGGTAACAAAATTTCCCGGTTACAAGAGTACACAGAATGCGAAAAGGGTTTAAAAATTGACAGGAACTTTATTTACCGGTTACAAACTTCATATTACCAGCGCAGAATAGAGCTGTTAATTCCAGTTTTGAACCACTGTGCCCTGATATGTACTTAATAGTTTTGCATACGAATATTTAGCAAATTCTTCAATATTCCACCACAGAAATTGACGTCAACGATATTTATTATTGTTATCCGATAAACAATTTATCGTAGTTCCCTTAGACATACAGTGGCGAGAATATAAATACGAACGCGACATTTTTAAAAGTTTTGGCTATTTTTACTTTACTTAGTTTTTTTTTTTATATAGTATATATGTTGCTGTTGCCCGCTGTGGCTGAGTGAGTAGAGTGGATACCACCACTACGTAGGAATAGGGTTCGATCTCTGATCCGAGTGTTATCTACATAAATTGAAAAAAAAAAACAGTTTTTTCTATCAGCCGTCACCCCTCGGCGGGCAATGGTAAACCTCCGAGTGTA